ACCCATGAATTCTCCACCATGGTTCTTTAGGTCAATCAACCCAATATCACCAATCTTGATCTGTTCATCTGTAGCAACTAGAATATTATGTGCTTTGAGTCGGCCATGGACACATTTCTAGCAGATCACAAGGAGAATCACACATTAGATCTAACAAACATTTGTTAGCTGCGTTAGACAGCTGGCTATTTAGCTCACCATGTCCTTGAGATACATCATGCCTTCTGCTATCTGTGCAGCAAACAATATCACACTTTTCTTGCTGATGCTTTTCCTTTCTGGTTGGGAACTAATGACATTATATTTAAGACAATAATGATAAATAATTATTGCTGACGATGTATAGGATCAATATATTCATGAAAGTAATGCAAAGTACTAATAATTGTATTATTACTTACACAGCATTCTTTAGATAGGTTTCAAGATTGTCTGGAGCATATTCAGTGATCAATCCAACACTGTCTTTCAATTTGCTTAGTCCATAATGGCGAATGATGTTAACATTTATCAGTTTTATTAATCTCTTTTCAACATCAAAAAAGCTCTGTATGTAAGATTAATAAAAAATGCTTTGTTATGCAATGGATAAATGGATAATGAAATATTAATTATTGATCATTATTTGGTTAAAGAAGAGCACTGAAGACAACTTCACCTCATCAAGAATTTTCTTCTTTAACTTTCTCACTGCTATATTCTGAGGGTTTTCTCCTTTCTTTGTAGTCCACTCTGATAAAATAACATTTCCAAACTCTCCAGCCTATTATAAGATAAGATAACAATGTATATTAATATTAATTAATATTTACAGTTGACCTTGACATTGCAGTTGTGAATGTAATCCCTACCTTTCCAATGGGACGTAAGAGTTTGATGTCTAGTGTGTTGATAGATTCTAAACCAAACTGGTTCAGATCTTGAGGGCGTGGTGCAACAGGTACAAGAGGATAACCATTCAATAGGGCATCATTATCTGTGAGGAACCAATGTTCTTTAAATAGATTGTTGAAATATTTGCTAACATTTAGGGCTGGGGGATAAGGCTTATGGTATTCTCAATTTCCTGAAATCTTATTCTTCAAACATCCTGTATTCCATTCATTTTGTAATTATACACACCTATTTCGAAAATCTTTGCACCAAGAGCCTCAAGTAACAAGCCAAGGCTCCAGAGAACGTCGGTACTTTTAATTATTGTTCTTGGTTCATGCAAGTGGCTATAGCTCTACACAAATTATCATCTCAAGCAGCCTTGCTTGGAGCAATTTGTGAAGTCAATAACTATGAAAATGCACCATGAATAAACTAATTACATCTAAAGTACTGGTGTTCTCTGCGGTCTTGGCTTGAGGGCTTTTGGTGCGACAACGATTTCTGAAATAGGTGTATATCTTGAAAAGCACTTAAACAAATTTCAATTATTACTAGAAAAGTTGTTCGGTGAGATTGATTCATGTAGAAAGTGTACCTGTCTCACTCGGAGGGCAAATGTTCTTCAAGCAAACTGAAAGGCCATCCTGGAGATAATAAAGAGTTAATGTAAATAATAGTTTATTTGAAACAACCTCAGGATACAACCTCTGGGATCAAACATAACTATTATCTAACAGATTGAATAGATCTAATCCACTGTTTTCCCATTTCAGACCATTTGTCATTCCCTAGAGTATCAGAGAATGAATATGTGGCCTGAAATGGGAAAACATTACACCAAGGGTAAAGTTAAGTCCATTGGAATTTAACATGTTAGATTTTATGGGGAAAGAAAAACATATCATTAATACCTGATTTTCCTTGTAGTACTTGATGAAGGCATCAAGGTTTTTGAACTTCTTAACGATGGTAGTGTCTTTCAGCATAAAGAGACCATCATTTTTAATGATTTCATAGTGTTTGATGCCTTTATCATACATTAGAGACAGTACATAGTTACTAAACACTCTCCTGCTTTGCCTGATCAAGAACAGTCCATCCTCTTCACCCTTTGCTTGCAAGATTGACATACTCATTTCACGACTTAAACCAAATGCAAAATGACAGTGTTATGTAATTGTGATGTCTATGATCGAAAATAGGGTGCACGAAGCTAAAAATATATATGTTATAGCCAACTATTAGAATCATGGTAGAATAAGCCTTTTCATAGTTTAAGAATCGATTCCACATAGTTATTTCAAAAAATAATTGGTTCTCAATAGTAGGCACCATCCTTAACAAAGTGTTGTAACAGCCAGGGATGGCCGAAGTTGTTGCTGGGATAAAAAACAAGCTCTATTTTAAATTTAATTATATTAATCATAATCAACATAAAACTCATACCTTATTGGTCCATGAAATTTCAAAGGCATTTGCAAACCTGAAAGAGTTCATATTAAGATCTTTTTTARAGATATCCGTTTAAAAAAATTATTGTTCAAGATTGATGAACCCAAAGAATTCGAAGTATAACATCCTGTCAAACACAAAATTATCTACTTTTGTTCCTTCAAACCAATATTTACAAACTTATAAAATACTGTCACAAGTATGACAAAAATGGCAAGCTAATACACACAAGGAAAATGAATTAACAGTTAACAGCAGTAAAGAAAAGTTGCCAATATTCAATATTAGCCAGCTGCATGCATAGCCAGGGGGACCAAGAAGGTCCTTTCTCAACCCTCTTGTTAGTATTGCAACAGGGTTCGTGCTGAGGTACTATTCAAGGAGTATACAAGGACCCAAAAATGAATTTACAAGGAGTTTGTTCAGCTAACTATGCCAAGGTTTTACACGTGTTTGCACATGGTCGACTTTCAGATTTTCCGATCTGTCTGACTAGATCTATTTTAGAACCAAGTAATGATCAAAGTAAAATTCAAGGAGTTTCCAAGAAGTTTCTCTAAAGTCATAAAATTCAAGAGCTTTTCAAGTGCCCTTGAAAACGTGAATTAAATTCAAGGAGTTTTCAAGAAACTTAAGGAGTAGCACGAACCCTGTCGCAAATAGGTTAGCTTAGCAATAAACGTGTCACAATTTTTAAGTTTAATTTTTTCACCGAAAAAATCAAACAGATACAGCCAGAATAACTATTTTCTATAACAAATTAAAGAAAGTAATAAATCATGATCTAAAGCAACAAATCAATGTTAGCTTATTATGCAGTAAAAAGTGCTGAACCCATCATTTTAACCCAATGGCTATATCATAAAATTCCTTCCCATGCACTGTAGAAACCTAAACACTTAAGTAGTCAGGTGATAAGTTCAAATGACTTACCAATGTTCTGAAAACTGGTTCTCCCCCCCCCCCCCCCTCACCCCAAGGCAAAATCCTGGCTAAGCCCTGAATTCACAACATTCGTTTGCATGATATTATCTTCATGTTGGTATCAATCATACATTATTTATATGTATGCAAACCCTTCAGTTGGTGTTTATAGATATTATTTTTACTCACCATTTAGATTTCTGTAGCGGTTTACAAGAAGTCGGTAATACCCATTGATAATTGCTACGATTGATTGAGCATCTTGAGGTGAACATGCAGATAAAACCTAGAGAAGATTAAACATTGTTGATATTAATGCGGTATATAATTTAAATTAAATTACTTTGAATTTACTCCTACTTTTGTTAAAGCAAGACACTAAAAGCTTTGACAAATCAATAGATGAGTAGTCTAAGAATAGAGCTGAAGGTATTTGAAGTAAAGATCATTTACCTCTGCTTTAGATTCCATTCTCGATATGATTATTTGATTACTTTGTGTTTGTTCGATCTCCAAACCACAAACTTGCGAAAAATCTTTGACAATAACTTCTGGTACCTAGAGTAAATAATAGTAATAAAACTCCTCAGGAATTGTTCATAAAAATATGAGTTAAGAAATACAATTATATTTTATATATTATGTATATAAAACGTTTTAAATCCAGGGCAAACAAGAAAATAAATGTATGGTGACTATAGAACGATGGAAGATTAAAGAAATGAATTTTGATTAATGAATGAATGAACAAATGAACAATTAAATGAATTAAGAAACAAATGAACAAACAAAAGAAAGAAAAAATGAATGGTAGATAAATTGGTAGGAGGTTGGTTGGATGGATGGGTGATTGGACAAATGGATGGTTGGGTGGGGAAATGTATGGAGGAGTGGATGGGTGAATATGGATTGACAGAAAAATGAGTAGAT